CCGAGGAGCGGTGGGAGCGGGGCACCCCGGGGCACCCGCCCCCCTCCCGAAAGCTGTGGTCTGTCCTTCCGTGTGTCCGGTCGTTAGAGAAGCCAGCGTGTGAGCCGGCGCGGGAGCGTTCCGTGGTTCTCCCTTCGCTCCTCTGGAGCCGTGAAGCGGGCAGGGCGCAGCGCGGGCTGGTGCGGGAGGCCTGTGCGGGTTACTCGGGGCTGGCGCGGGAGCCCGTGCAATAGGCACGGGCACTTGGAAGGTGATGGATTACGAACTGACACCCCTGCCTCCTTTGCTTCCCTTTTCTTCTGAAATTTCTTCAGTAAGGGATTGCTAGCTTCCAAAAAGCATCGTGAAGGAAGGTGCAGGCCTTCTTCTTTCCTGATGCCTACTCCTCACTTCCCCTAGCCGTCCCTCCGTGCTGTCTGTTATGCTGGGAGGGTGGGATGATTTCTTCTGGGAACTGATCTCATACACATAGGACAGAAAATCCAAATTAATAGATGAAAGGCTATTAACTGCGGCATTGCTCCAATCGGTTACTCCAATACCTTAAGCTGAGGGAGTATTAAATGTGTGGTTCTTAGGTCTAACCCTGTGACTAAGGGTGGGTCTCTTGGGATGCTGCTGCCTCAGTTTAAGAAAGGGGGATGTTTAGGTGAGGATGTGAACCTAAACCTCTAAAAACACCGATTCTTTGTGTTACTCTGATACAGATTTTTTTGTACAAATTTGAGAGTCGCTGCAGGTGGGGTGCTAGAGAGATGCTTAAGTATCTTAATTCCATTCATTGTAGCAGATCACTAATATTCCAGGGAGTCTTTGTATACACTGGTAAGATTCTGATTTAAAAAGGGAGAGGAGAGTAGCTTCCTATTTTGTGAAGATTGAAGTAATTCTTTGTAGGTCTGAAAAACACGGTTTGTTGCAGCTTGCAAATCAGTGGCTAAGCAACTGATTGGGATGGCTGTGGCTTGTCAGCAGTCTCTGTGCTCCTGGAGGCATTTAAAGACACACACAGTTCATGAAAAATGGTGCTGCTATTAGTGGTTAGAGTTTGCATGCATGCAAAGAGTACGGATAAAATAATGAAACAAATTTTAATTTGTAGTAGAAAATTATGTACACTGTAGCTTAAAACGTGTAAGGCAGGTACTCCACTATATAAAGAAAGCTGTTGGAAAGTTGAGCCCCAGCATCTGCTGTTTGGTGTCAGCACGTGGTCTTCAATTTGGCTATCTAATGTGCTGCCCTTTATAATTGTCACAAATTTCACGCTGCCCAGGGAAGTGGTCACAGCACCAAGCCTGTCAGAGTTCAAGGAGCATCTGGATGACGCTCTTAGTCATATGGTTTAGTTTTAGATAGTCCTGTGAGGAGCAGGGAGTTCGACTCCATGATCTTATGGGTCCCTTCCAACTTCAGATATCCTGTGATTCTATGATTCTCTGTGACAAATTCCATGTTAACTTAATTAGGCAGCCGTGCAGGGTTTGGTTTCCTTGGGACTGGGGAGAGAGACTCTGAAGCTCTTGGTAGTAGGCAGCAGATGTATAGCTGTGTTGCATACCGTCAATGGAAGATGCAGCTCCTTGCCTGAACAAGCAGTCTTTCGTGGTGGTGTGAGAATAAACCCATAGAACTGAGTTCTTGTGTTATAGTAGGATATGGGGGTTAGAACAGGGGTATGTTTGGGTATGTTGCAAGAACATTTGTGTGACTTTAAAAAAGTGTTCCTTGTGCTACTGAAAAGTGATTGTCTAAGCTTTCCTGTGTCTTAGAAATCACGAATTCTCCAGTCCTAGCAAAATGCATCAAAAAGGGAAGGAGACAGTGAAGAGCTGTGAATTGGATAGGTTTTCACTTTTTAATAAAACACAATTAAAAAAAAAAAGCAGGAATTAAATTATGAGTATTAATCAGAGGTGTGAGCCAGAACACAGCAATGACGCTGTCTTCAGTTTTTGCACTGCTGGTGCTGACGACGTGGTGTTGCTTATGGAGGGTGCTTAAACCTTTCATAGTGGGCCCTGCAGATTTGTCACAGCAGAGTTCATATGCTCATGACTAAGCGCAGAGCAGAGTTTGTTGGGTCTGAGCTCAGCAGCACTAGGGAAGTGGATGGCTCCATCAGCTGACTATTAATAATATAGGAGCAAGAGGACAACCATTATTTCTTGTGATTACTTCCAGGTTCTGGGAAAGATGACCACTCTCACACGGCAGGACCTTAACTTTGGGCAAGGTAGTATGTTGTGGTATGCTTGTGAAGCTTCTTGTTGGTGCATGAGCTTGTGTAATTGTTGTTGGAGGGTTGTTCTATCCCTAAACTTCCTGCAGCTAAGGGGAAGCAGGTGGAATTTATGCAGGGAAAAAGACCTGAAAAAAAATTCCTATGAATTGCTCTGCATGCTCCCCCGCCCCCATACTTCAGCATCCTTTACTTTTGTTTTTCAGTTGTTGCAGATGTTCTTTCAGAATTTCTGGAAGTGGCTGTTCACCTTATCTTATATGTCAGAGAAGTTTACCCTATTGGGATCTTTCAGAAGAGGAAAAAATACAATGTACCTGTCCAGGTAGGAGATTTTCCTGGAAGCTGACAGCCATGTGGACAAGCAAAATAGTGGGGATCAGTCAACACTCATCAGAATAAACTAAATCACTTCCAGAGTTTGTTTTAACATGCAAACTCATTTTTGAAGAGAACTTGGTTCCTGTCAAAAGAGAAAACAGCCCTGTAGCTGAGGATACAGCAGTACTCATGGAACAAGCAGATCATGAACAGTAGTAGGCAGCTGCCCCAGGTAGAGGTGGTTGGAATATACTATTCCCAATACACCACAGCTCTGTGGGTGCAGTGATCTGCCTCAGCCAATTAACCCTTCCATGAAAGAATTACTGGTTTGAATTGGCAACTTAGTGGTGAAAAATTCTATTTGAAGCATGACTCGAGTGCCTTGTAAGACATTGGTGCTTCTGTTTAAATCTTCCCATTTAGCAGCGTCCTGGTTCACATCAGAACACAGCGCTGACTGTTCACTGTTGTTGCTACAGATGTCCTGCCACCCGGAGCTGAATCAGTACATCCAGGACACGCTGCACTGTGTAAAGCCGCTGCTCGAGAAGGTAAGATCATATCAGGGACCTGGGCAAAAGTACTCCAAGGTTGTTTGACAGAAAGTAAGAGAACATAAATGCCATCTTCATTGCAAAATTTATTTACAGATTTACCATACACAATATACTAGCTGATAAAGTTACTAACAAAAAATAAAAATAACATCTGTAACCTTTCCTTGCAGTTAAGGCCCTGCATTGCTGCCGATTATTGGTATTTAGTTGCACGTAATACATGCACACAAAGATATACATCCAGTTACATCATCCTACATGTTAACTTAACATTTTGCTTTTGAATACATTTAAGTTTAAGCACTGATCTGACAAAATAGTTCAAATGCTTTGCTGTAAGCCAGCATGTACAGTTAGGTGTGACCATATGAAACATTTCAGGATGTAGGATGCTGGCAGATTTTGCATGCTCTGCTCTTTACAGACATTTAGAGAATGGAAATAGGTCAGTTTTACATCACAGTAGTACAAAGCTGCTATATTTGGCCAACGGTCTAAGCATATTGTAATTCCCCATCACTGTCCATTCCCCAGTGATGCAGTGAGATGGCTGTACATTTCCTCCTTTGTGCCAAAACAGTATCTAGAGAAACATCTCCCTAGAGCCTTAGCAATAAGCTATCAGTTTAACATCTAGCAAGAAATGGCTTTGTGAAAGCATTTTTTCCGATTGGTAAGAATAATCTCATAGTGCTTAAGCTTTGGATAACCGCTAGTGCTGTGAGCCACAACAAGTAAGCATACTCCCACTTTATCAGAATTCTGTGAAGCACACTGGGGGCAGAAGACAGCTTGTTTTAAGGCAGAGATTTTTCTCTCTCTGTTGTTGCAGAACGATGTGGAGAAAGTCGTAGTCGTAATCCTGGATAAAGAGCACCACCCCGTGGAGCGATTTGTCTTTGAGATCACCCAGCCACCTCTTCTGTCCATCAGGTAATGTTTCCCTTGGGTAATGGTTCCCTTACTGCTTGCCCGTGGCATCCACACCTGCCTCTGCAGAGGTGTTCTGGAAGCAGCGCCAGGCCCTGGTACTTTGCTGCATGCCAGTAACAACTGCTGTCTCCTCAACAGTTCAGAGTCCCTGCTGTCCCACGTGGAGCAGTTACTGCGTGCCTTCATCCTGAAGATCAGCGTGTGCGATGCTGTGCTTGACAACAATCCCCCAGGTGACCACATCCATGCAGCCTAACAGCATGGCATTCTTGAGATGACAATAGGTAGTGGCTGATCCTCTGTCAGTTGTCGCCTGATCTGGAGCCTACTACTTCTCTTGCAGGTTGCACCTTCACAGTTCTGGTTCACACGCGGGAAGCTGCCACACGGAACATGGAAAAGATCCAAGTGATAAAGGTGAGTGATATCTTTGGCTACCTCATTGCGTGTGAGCAGCCTGCAGAGCAAAGACTGGAAATGAAAGAGTTTGGGCACCTCTAAGGTTAAGGCTGCTAGGTATTTTGGATGTGTATGTCAGCTTTACATGATACACTTCACAACTTTGCTCTGAATGTGTTAAAATGGTTCACTCTGGCGAGGTGACTGAGCACATTCACCACACACCAGCCACAATTGCAGATAATAGCTGCTTCAATGCCTGAATTAGATAGTAACAATACTTACTGCATAATGCCTGCTCAGTCACTTAAAAGTCCTCCAACAAGTACTCAGTACTTAAAAGTACTCTGACATATAAAATAGGCACTTGAATTCAAGTAACAACAAAAAAAAACCCTCTCATCCCACATCCACTATGTGTGGATGACTGATTCTTTATAAATAGCAAGGAAGACTAAGATTCAAGTAACTAGTGGGTTTTGGGTGCACAAATACATTTTATCTTGCAGGAGAGTGTGCAGTTCACTTCTTAAAGCAAGATTTTTTTTTTTAGGAATCCTTGCTTAGGTACAGGGAAAATTCCCTGAGCCAAGGTATTTCGGGTATCCTAAGGCACAATAAATGAAGTTAGTGAAGTATAAAATTGTTTCAGAATGGAAGTCTGTTCTGTACTGCTTAGGAATGGAAACTGGTTGTATAGTAGGCCAACCTTTAAACTTGCAAGGCAGGACAGAAATCCATGCCCTGAGCATTTTGGAGTTGCAGTTAAATGCTGGTGTAACAAATATAAAATGCTAGCTCAGGACAGCTAAGAGCATATCTTTTAAAGAGGTGAGGTGTCACCTCTGGAATAAGGAAAACTGGTTAACATTATATAGTTTGATGCTGTAATTGAAGATAACTTGGCCCTGAGACTTGGCAAAGCATGCAAGCGTTCAGTTTTGCTGTTACGCAGGGTTTGTTACCCATTTCTTCCCTCAGCCACTAGATCTCTCATTGACTTAATGCTGACCTAGTGCTGACAGAGCTCACCTTACAGAGCCTGCCAGCCTCTCTGCAAATAAAGCACCTTGTGTTCCTGCCCCTAGGATTTCCCGTGGATCCTCGCTGATGAACAAGACGTGCACATGCACGACCCCCGGCTTATTCCCCTAAAGACTATGACATCTGATATCTTAAAGGTGAGCAGAGCGTTCTGGCCCAAGAGGCGGCTGGAACTGCACATAGTTCTAAGCTTTGTCTACTCTGATGCCAGCTCCGCAATTTTCTGCAGGGTAACAGTTTTAGTATTGCTGAGCAGTATTATTGCTTAGTCTTGCAGATGCCTGTGCCAGTAATCAGAACAGGGCAAAACTCCTCATAATAAAGTAGGAAATCTGGTTATGGGGGAAGGTACAAACTCTTCCTATTTAGCCCATTGCAGACCTTTTTCCCCTTCACCTACCTGCATACCAAACAGAACTGATGCTTGTTTCTCTCCTCCAGATGCAGCTATATGTAGAAGAGCGAGCCCACAAAGGCACCTGATTTCAAATCTTCTTTGCCTTCAAGCCTCATCTGATCTTCCAGTGGAATAAGATATCTCACAAACCGTACCTTGATAACTGTCTCTTCAGCTGGCCTTCTGGGTGAATGTAGAGCAGCTACTGCCTCTTTATTTCAAGTGCTCTTACCACTGTATATAGAACTGACTTGGAATGTGGAGCCAGAGCCTGTTCCCACGTACACTCACACACCAGAGCAAGTACAGGTTTTGTTACAGTGAATCCCTGGGGGCAGCAGCAGGATGTAGCCTGCTGCAGCGTGCAGTCAGCGCTTTGTACCAATCCAGTCCTCACCTTAACAGAGCATCGCCACCACGCATCGGTAGCGATATACAGCGATCTGTGACATGTGCTCCACTCGAGCAATGGACTCATACTAAGGGTGACTGAGGCCTTATGTAGTGTCTGTCCGCTGTGACTGTCCCAAGTAGTCTTCAATAAATACTAAGATTTACCCCAGCTGAACTAGGCTGAGTCCTGTCCAAACCAGCCTCCCGCCTTAAGTGAGGAAGCATTTTTGTTTTGTATGGAGCTTTGTATTTTATGTGGAGCTTCCACCACCTTTCCACACCTTTTACTGGAACATATGTGGGATCTGTCAGTTCCTACGAGAGCATACACAACCTTGGTCTCTCCCCTTTCCATGGGACAGCTTTTACCCACGGGTGGCATTAGCAAGGTGGGTTTTGCCCGTCCACCAAGGACGCTTGCCAACTGCCCTACTCCTAACAGAGAACAGCCAAGGCAAGCACTGTTAATCCTACACCTATCACAGGAGATGGAGGAAGGCCTTAGTATTAGCTCTGTGCATGCAGGGGTAGAAGACATGATTCATAGTATTTGAGCTGAGCTTGTTGGCCAGACAATTCAATGAGACAGCCAGTAGTACCGCCCTGCTTCCTCCAAGTAAAAAGTGCAAGAATACTATAGATCCAGGTCATGCACTGCTTTAACATTTTATATAGGGTTAGACTGTTCAGTACAAACCACATACTTTGGTAGTACAAAGGTAGTGTGGAGAAAGCCCAGCACAATCAAAAGGCACTTAAGTTGTAAGGTAGCCACCTTAAGGGATTCCTTATCTCCTGTTTCTCTCTCTGGCTGTTTATTCAAACAATGATGGGCTGTATTCGGACAGGCAGGTATGTACCATTCTGATCATATAGGCTTACAGAAACAGTAAGGAATTAAGTACCAGTGACACAGCATTTATATCAAAAAGGGTTGATAGTGTCCTTATGCTATGAAAGGTCTGATGTGAAAGATACATGTTTTTATACAAAATTAAACTGAAACAGGAAAATACCATACAAAACAAGTCTCTCTGCTACAGAGCCCTTGAAGACAGCATTGATAATCTGAAATAAACATTTTAGCCTTATCTTTCATAAGTTCATAAACAAACAAGAAGTGGTGTCTGTTTAAGACTCAGAGTTTGGCTGTAGCACAAGGACATATTAACTAGAAGAGACAGATACCATATTTAATTGTCCTAGTCTTCCTCCTGTGGAAGGGCACTAGTAATTGCGGTAACATCAATGGTACAGGAGGATGAAAGGCGAAGACAGAAGTCCTTCCAGAGGGCTGGGCCTGCAGAAGTTCTGCTGTGAACAATGAGAACTAGCTGCTTGTATTTGAGACCAACTGTGCAAGACAAAGGCAGGACACTCACCCAGAGAGTACAGACAAATAAGTGCACCTGAGACCACCTGGTTACAGTCCTGAGGTAAAAGCAAACACTTATATTGTGCCTTCATAACAACGTCAGGGGCCCAATGGTGATGCTGGTGTTTGTCACTCGGATCCCATACCATCCTGCCCAGAATTGGGTGTCTTGGCCTCCGTGCTGAAACCAGATGTAACGAACTCCAGCTGGGTAATTCTGGAAGGTGTGAGAAATCTGGGGAGAAAGAAGAAAATTCTCCTTAATTTGCCTAAATAAGCCAGCACTGACCTAGAAGCTAGGACAACTACAGTATGCAAGTCTTGGTCTCAGGAAAAGCTCATTCTAAGATATCTTTAATATCCAAGATACCAGCGCACCATACCCCTTTCTGAGGGGCAGGGAAAAAAGCCTCTCCAAAGTCAATCATAACATAAGCTTGATTCTTAGGTACATTTGTCATGAAAACAACAACGTACTGGGGAATCTACAGCCAATCAAACCAGTTAAACACATTCAGTGGTTTAAAAAGAGTAACATCTGCAATACTTTAAATTACATCCATGCAGTAATTTTAAAACAAAGCTTTTTGATCCAATAAAAACAAGAACTGTGCTCTTGTAGCTTTGTTATTTAGACAAAAACTTAAGCAAAAAACAATGAAAGAGACAGAGCTAAAATAACACAGAAGCCTAGGGGATACTCTTTAGAAAACCCTGGGCACCTACAAACCAAACCTAGTTCTTTCATGGTGCTACTGCTTCTTCAGCATTGTCAACAGCAAGGACTTACTTAATTTAACCTTTTGTATTGAGTAGAGGAGGCTGAAGAGCAGAGAAAGTAGGTCCACTTGGGACTTCTGGCCAGGTAAGACTTGCAAGATTCAAGTGTCACAATACTGATGCAAAGCTGCTGCCCACCTCTCTCCACATCGCATCGTTCCACTGCTCTATAACCACTGGCTCGGGACGGAACTCCTCAAGGACAATGTAGTCCTCAGAAAGCAGCCTCACTGTGAGTTCATAGCGACATCCACAGTCAAATCTGGCAGCATACCTAGAGAGGCAGGGAGTAAGTCAAGGAGCAGGGTTGTATATACAGCATTCAGTTTTCTTTAGTGTTCAAAAACAGCATCCAAGGGGATTCCCATCTGCAGAGGAAAAGGAACATCATCCCCATAGCTCTGAAAAAGTTCTAAACCTTCCAGCTATCCTCCTCTTTGCAGGATTGCCACCTCCTTACAGCCCACTGAATAAACTTAGATTTAGCTTATGCTTTACTCAAGAGCTACAGCTCCCAAAGGATGAAGAACTAGTTTTACAGCATGAAAAGCTTCAGAGGCCTAGCTTATCTCTAGGCCAATACCAGAAGTTCTAGTTTTCAGTGCATACGCTTACCAGTCCTTGACTACGATTTCAGGCCGTTTCTCATCCATCAACTGATTCCAGTATCCTTCTTTCTGCAGAGTAATGAGTTGAGACTTGAAGCATGGCCTGCAACAGCAATAGAAATATTCACAGCTTCACAAAACGCATCTCTTCCCTCTCAATGTCCACACTTTCCCTGAACAACTTGACTCTCGCCAAAAGCCCACCCAGACCTTGAAGGCCCACGAGGCTGACTGGGCTAAGGCACGCCATTTTCCGCAGCCAGAACTAGACAAGGAAGTGAACCGATTAGCTTCACCCCCAGATAAAAGGAAGAGTTACCTACAAACTGGATTAAAAGTGGTCCCATGGCTTTTGTAGCATATATTGGTAACAGGAACCTGCTGCTTAATGGGTGTAAGAGCAGCTAATCCTCCTCTGTTGTCAGCTTTTATTGCAAGCTGTTAGCATGACAAACACACCTACTCTCTTAGAGGTTACAGAGCTTTGACCTTGTCAGGTAAGTGCATCTGATTAGCTTGCTAAACCTTAACCTTTGCCCACCACCTTTGGTAGAAGAGGAGCAGAGATCCCGTGTGGATTATCATGACTAAGTTACAGGACATTCCTGGTAGAGACAGAGAAATTTAGCACATGCTGCGATTAATTCTCTCAGTGCACCTGTGTGTTTAGACCAACTAGTGTAAAAGGTTAATTAAGCTCCTTTCTTTTCCCACACACGGGCTAAGTTTCAGTGTCCCGCCCCCAGCTGCCTAACCGTGGTGCCTTTGCAGACAGACAGACAGGAGGAAGCGGGTCTCCCAGCGCCAGATTACCAGAATCCAGTTCTTACCCATATGAAGTGACAAAGTATTTGCGTACTTCAGGGTCTGGCATCCCTCTTCCATGAGGTCCAGGCATATCCTCAATCTTCCACTTATCTCCCTCATTATTATCAAGTATCCAGTGCTGAAAGTTCTCTAAAAACACAGGTAGCAGAGATGAGTGTTAGGACCTCACACCAGTTTCCAGCATCTCTGCTTTTGTTAAAGCATCAGCTACAGCAGAATACCAGGAGCCTGCTCTGATGAGTTTGCAGACACACTGTAGTTTTCCTACAGCCAAAAGTGACTCCTGTCTTTATGTTGCCATTACTTTTAACGTGGCTGTCAGCAGCTAGGACAAGAGGCAGCAACTTTCTGACTATGTCAGAAACTCATCATCAGTAAGGAAGTAGAATTACTGTAGTCATATTAGTCAAGTCTGACAACAAAAATTCCCCAGCTGCCCAAACGTTTAATCCCAATACCCGACAGTTTCATTGCCGTGTTGTACTTGCTGTGCGACATTAACCGTCGCTGTCCGCAGAGCCGAGGCCTTAGCAACTCCGAGGCTTTTCTGGTTGCAGCCATGGATACGTGCTTACCAGCACTTTAGCTACCCTCTGTAGTTTTATTGCAGATGTTTACTTGTGGATCTGACCCAGCAGAGATTTGTCAGTAGCTGGACAGTCCCACACCACCACAGTGCTTGAGTAATGCAGGACACTGACTCATTCTGACTGTTGGGAAATTCTCTTAGCTCTCGCCTATGAATAATTAAACAAACCTTCAGCAGAGGGGTTTTTGATTAGGTTTCTCTTCAAGTGGCAGAGCATATAGAAGATCTTCCAGTCGGAGATGCTTCTGTCCAAACTCTGAATATAGAACCCCTCGCGCTGGCACTTGCGCTTCCATAGGGTGGTCAGGTCCACCACGTACCGCCACTGCGCGCAGACCAGCCTGCAGGTGCAGAGCAGGTCCCGGGCTGGCAGCAGCGACAGCAGCTCCACCAGGACGTCCTCGGGGAGGTCGCCAATGGTTGTCATCACAGAGCGGCAGCGTCCGGGGCGGGCGGCGGCAACGCCCCCGGGCACCCACAGCTTCGGGAAGCAAGCAGAGTTTCCAC